TCGCCGAGACGCGACAACCGTGTCGAACGTGTCAACAGGTGGCACTCATCATTCCTCCTAACCATATCGCCGCGTAGGATGTGCTACCGACCATGATAAAGAATACATTAACTGGAAATGTAGGTGTCGTTGTGCAGCTCCGTTCTTTCAGGACAGACACCTCCTCTCCTCTCCCCCCCCCCTCATATCTCACCCTTCAAATGTTTCAATTCGAATCTCTTTGATATCCTATACGATAAAAATTATTCGATAAGAGTATCACAAACTATCTAGAAGAGTTGTTGTTATCCGCGTAATAAAGTGATCTCTACATAATTTCATATTTATTTTCATATCTACATCTACTATTATATTATAATAACGATACAAATGTGTAATATTTCCGCTTAGGTATTTGAATAAAAATTATTAAGGGGGAAAAAAGCACGTGTTGTCCTACCGTGACAAACCGTGAAGAATAATCTTTTTAATTATCCTTTGTAGATTGTAGCGAGTAAACGCGAAACTTGCTTTCTCCCAGATCTCAATCTTATTTTTCTCGCGATGAAAGAGAAAACCGTAACAGTACTTATCCCATCTTTTCCATCCTTTAAGTGCTCCATCCGCAAACCCTCCCTGTCTCTTTCTCTCTTTCTCTTATGGTATCCTTCCTCTTCTTCTTCCGTTCTCATCATCCCTTCTTCGTTCTTTGCAATACTCACGCTTCGCATAATCCATAGCTCCTGGCTAAGATCTAAAATCCCTCGTCGTTCTTTCTCACTCTTTATCTACCTCTTCTTTCTGTTCTGTTCTATTCTGTTCTGTTCTATTCTATTCTATTTCGTTCTGTTCCGCTTATAACGACGAGGCTCCGCTCTTTTTCCTATCCTTTTCCTCCCCTTCTCTTACCCCTCCCCCACGTTTTTCCCGTTTTCTCTTCTACCTGCTTGACAAGGTTTCAACCCCTCCCCTCCCCTCTCCCCGCCCCCGCAACCCGCGTTGCCGTTTATACGTTAACTCCGTCATTTGCAAGAACGACAGACGACGAAAATGCTTTCACGTAGCGCATTTCAAAGGCACGCGTATTCCATCCTCCTCCTCCTCCACTTCTCCTCTCCTCCCCTTGGCCCCTCTCAACCCCACCCCCCTCCCCTTTCTTTACCCTTCTTCTCTATGTTGCTTCTCTTTGCTTCTCGGTCTACTCTTATCCTCTTTTACTTTTCCGTACGGTGACTGTTGGTAAGGGGAGTGGAAAAAGAAAAAAATATCCCCGTGAAAAGTCGAGTGACAGAGAGAGAGAGACAGAGAAAGAGAAGAAGAAGTAGAAGAGGAAAAATAAAGAAAAATAAAAATAAAAAAGAAAAAGGAAAAAAAAACAAAGTTAGAAGAAAAGAAAGTAGAGAAAACGTCGTTCTGGAAAGCTTATTTCCACGCTACTTCGGTAAGAACGGATAGTTCTCCTTTATCACGTTGGCAATATACATCACATAGGTAGGTACTACTCGCAAAAGGTATCCCTTCCTCTAAGAGAAACAGGCATCCCTCCCGTCGCTTCGAGAAATATCGTCGACGAGTAGGATGCCGGTGACCGAGGTCGCCGTACTCACGACGGGTGGTGTTCGTCGCGACGACGACGACAACGACGACGACGAGTACGAGCTTTCATAGAGCTTTTTCTTTCGGTTTTCCTACTTTTTATTTACCCTCTTTGTGTGTGTGTGTGTGTGTGTGTATTTTATTCTCTCTCTTTTTCGTCATGTACCTTGCACAGTTGCTATTTTTTCCCCTCCCCCTCCTCACTTTAACCAACATACTTACATATGTACGTACGTATATGTATTATACGTATATACATTTATTCGTATACTCGCAAAACACATATACATAGGTAGAAGTACTTTGGTTCGACCATTCGAATCGTATGTCTCATTTTTATCCCAAACCTTGTTTTTTTTTTAGAACCTACAAAGTACCCCCGAATTTTGGTTGGACGCTCTGCGGCGTATCATCCTGTGCCGCCCTTTTCCTTTTTTTTTTACGAGAGAAATATTTTGAAGGCTTAGGTTAACTTCCTCTTTTTGTTCGTCCGTCTGATCGTTCGAAAAACTCTGGTTAAAAGGGCTTCCTCCTCCCTTTCCTTCCCTTCCTTTCCCATCCCTCGTTTTTCTTCCCTTTATTTCTCTTTGTTTATTCGTACATCTCTTTCTCTCTCTCTCTCTCTCTCTCTCCCTTTCCCTCACGCACGCGCTTTTTCCGTTTGTTCCGCTCGCGGTCTCGGCGTGGTTTCGAAAATTTTCCAAATACCCCTACCCCCTCGGCCCCGTCCACATGACCCTTTTACGATTCCGCGCGTCCTACAAATCACCTACGGGAATTCCCGCTTTATAGGCGTTTTGCACCGTACCAGCAACAGCAATGCTGTTTGCACCGAAATTGCGCTGCAATGTGTTGTTTTTTCTCTCTCTCTCTCTCTTTTTTCTTTTTTCTCTTTTTTGTATTCCCCCCCCCCCAATCGCGCGTTGATTCTTCGATGAAACGGTTCCACCTCTCTTCTCTCTCTCTTTCTCTCTCTCTTTCTCTCTCTCTTTCGAGCAAGCACCAATACATCCGATAATGACCGTTTCAAATTTGCATTTAATTTTCCATCGTTCGCTCGTTTCATCTCCAAGTTATGCTCTCGTTACATTCTATTCTATCATAGATGTAAAACCACAAAAAATTTCGTATTATTTCGATTTTTTGTTTTTTTTTTTCGTTTTTTTTTTTTTAACGCCACAATTTTCTCGCGTAATTTGTAATTATAAGTTCACCGTTCTATTTGAAAATATACGAACGGCATAATGATTTTTATAAACTAATAAAGTTTCGATCCATCGAATGTGGAAACAATGAAAATGAGCTTCCTAATTGAATTAAAATTATAATTGGTAAAACGCGTGTGTACACTTGTATTTTAATAAAGCATATCAGGTAGGACAACATTGTCGTAAAAGAAAAAAAAAATACAAACAAAAAATTATTTACCGAACGCATGATTCGAACGAAAGTGCATTTGTATTTTAGGGTTGGGGGAGGGGGAGTTGGTAGGAAATATGTTTTTTAAAATAGCAACGCGTTAATAAACAGAATCATCGTATACGCGTGCCCTACGCGTAACACGTTTACACGTCATATAAATTTATTTATGCGAATCGGACTATTAGTTAAATCCTCTTGTCGAGATTAAATCTTTTGAACTAGTTGAAACAGAGAGAATGACGTTATACGAAGATATATAATAAAATTAAAGCAAATAATTTATCGTGGGGGATTGCAATGCGGTATTATTCCATCAATCAATAATTATTTGAATAGCGTTAGATATAGAAATAAATGAGCTCGTTGTAACGCGTCCATCCGTTGTTGGAGAAATGGAGAAAGAGAATGAGAAAAAGACAGATAGATAGACAGACAGACAGACAGGCAGGCAGACAAGAGAAAGAAAGAGAGAGAGAGAGAGAAAGAAAGAAAGAGAAATACTATCTTTTGTAACAGTTAGTCGGTGCCACAGCAATTCGTCCGATCCATTATGGCCTGAAAACACAATCTCCGTCCATAATTACCCTCGAATTACATTCGCCTCGGCGAAATCGGTTAATGTCACCCTTGGCGGATGACGTTGCACGTAGGCTAATTCTTTACGCTCCATTCGCACACGTAATAACGTTTCTAACGGTACCATAGCGCGAGTTTCAGTTTATTCTCTAAAACATTGTCGTAGTAGTGTCTTTCCGTTCCAAATTTACTTTCCACGTCGTAGCGTACGTAAACCTTTCCCGCAAAGATTCTCTTTTTGCGGTAAACAAGCGGGGGGTGGGGGTGGGGTGGGAAGAGTTAAGAGGGGGAAACAAAGAAAAGGGAAGGAGAAAAGCTTTCTTTATTGAACTACTACTACAATCACAATTCATAGTAATTTATTAAACTTAAACGCCTTTTAATTGGTTTCATAATTTCTTCTACTTTTTTTTTGTTTTTCACATTTTTTTCTCTCTCAAACGAAGATCTTTTTTGAACCAAACCTACTTGGAGAGCTTATACACATTTACGATTGAATTACTTTACAAGCAAATTTTATAATTGGCCTGTTTTTTTTTCAATTATACGCGTTAATGTCGTCGTCGTTTCGTTAATACGATCAAAAAATATCGCGAGATCTCCGTGTATTTTGATCCTAACAAAGAAGTACGAGAAACGTTTTTGTGTTTTTTTTTTTCTTTTTAAATATATTCGGCCCTTTTTTTCCGTCACCAAACGAGTACAGCACGTTGTAACGTGTTATTATTTTTGTTTTTGTTTTTGAACGTTTTTCGAGTAATGAAAATTGAAGAGGAAGATAAAATTTGATTGTTTTAATGACGAGAATAACGAGAAAATCCAGGTATACGTTATAAACTATTACCAAATGTCGAGCTCACGCTTTTATCCGTTAGTCTTCAACGTCGTCGTCGTACAACAACATATCTCTCTCTCTCTCTCTCTCTCTCTCTCTCTCTCTCTCTCTCTCTCTCTCTCTCTATCTCTCTTTTCTATGCGACCGGATATGCGGAAGCTTGCTTCTGTTCCGCGTTTGGAACTGTGCTTCGTTAACCCTTTGATCTCCGATGTCGAAGCACGTTTCCCATCTAATTTTTCACTTTATCCTCTGTCAGATGTAGCGTAACGTTTACTATACTTTGTCGTATCGTCGTTCATTTAAACCGTGTCTCGTTGAGTTCACTTGAAATAAATGTTTTATATAAACGAGGAGGCAAAAAATAAAACTTATGGAAAATTTATTCTAAATATATTAACGACCAAAATTAACGCGTTGTTTTTTTTTTTATTCAGCTAATAATACCGTACACGTTTGCAAAAAATAAGAAAACACACATTGCACAAATCACATTTCAAAGTAATAAATATTCGCTTTAATCTGATTTCTATTTTAAATCTTTTTTTCTTTTGGGTCAACGTTCGGAAAAAAACACAAAAAACCCATACAGGGCAACTGTGACGGCTGTCTCATGGCATCCACATGGAACTTTCCTAGCATCGGTCGACCGTTCGAAGACCGTTACAATTTGGGGCGACTACGTTTGATAGGACGAACGATTCAACTACGACAAACGATTGTTGTTTCACGGCTGACGACTAGCGTGTTTTATCCTCTTCTACTACCATTCCTCAATTACCATTCTCGCTTGGTGGAACATTTTCATGGGAAAAGAACGAAGTTAACGTCGGGCCCCACCCACCCTTATCTCAGCACCCTTTCAACATAGGGCCACCATCGAGGAAAACAACAACGACGACGACGACGACGACGACGACGACGACGACGACGACGAGGAGGAGGAGGAGGAGGAGGAGAAAGAGTTGGTGGAGGGGGGACGGGGAGGGACAAAGACGATAACAAATATAGTAATAAAAAGAAAGAGGATTTTCACGAGAAGAGGAATAATCAAAATCATTCGACAATTTTGACGTTACTTATGGTTGTAAAAGCCTTTCCCCCTTTTTTTCTTATGGGGGATAACGTTTCGGTGAGCTGTAAAGCGCCGCGGCTAATAGCCGCGAACGAATCGAGAAAAGGGCTGTAGGAACTATTGTACATAAAGTTGCACTTATTGTGTTACTCCGAGGTTGTAAAGATATCCTTTTTTAGAGGTAGGGTAAGCAACAAGAACAAGAACAACAACAACTACAATTGCGCATCGTGCTCACCACCACCATCACCAACACCAACACCACCGTCTCCTGAGAAATCCGTGAGATAATCTTGTAGTTACTATTTCGAGATTCGCGTCTGGCGTCGTTGCTTTTTTAAACAAATTTCATTTTCAATTAAATAATATTAACATTTATATATATATACATATATATATATAAAGTCAATCGTTTGTTGTTGGCAGCAAATACTACGACGATGACGACAATCTATAACTATGGATGATATTCGTTTAAAATGAAAAAAAAAAACAAAAAACATGAAAAAAGATCAAAAAATTAAAAAAAAAAACAAATAAGCCAAGCTATATTTTCCTTCCTTTGAATGAATGCGAACGTTCGTCCTGCACGACGATTAAAACGTCGATCGTCGACTTTTATATGATTCAACGCAAATATGATATTATATTAGAGACGAAAAAATTAGATGTATTTTTTAATAAATAAAAAAGCACAATATAAAATGTTAACGATATCGATATACTGATCACGTTTGATGAGCGATTTGTATGTTAACTGTAAGGAGATAAGTATCACAGTTCGCAAAGGATAATCCAACACTAATAGATCTAATGAACTACTAAATCGTTGAAAAAGATAATAACATTCATATAAGATAATTGTAAATGATGCTCATTGTTTCGTTATAAGTTGTACGAAAGATAAGTTCATTGTATTATGTTGTTATACGTTTTGGGAAATTTCTCTATTATTTGTTTCGTTTTATATTTTTACGTCACAAACGTTTATTTTTATTATTAATTATATACTTTTACGGAAAAAAAAGAAAGACTCAATATTAATATTTAATATAAGTAATATAACTTTTGATTATTATAAAAACAAAACAAAAGAAGAAGGACGAAGAATGGAATTATTACCTACATTGTTTTTTTTTTCTTTTAGTAATTTGCATTGCTCTTATAAAAAATGGCAATGTACTTTCGCACAGTCTGATATTATTTACGATTAATCCACAAAGATCTTTTTTTTTTCTCTTTCTTTCTTTATTTCTCAATATATATTAATAAATATGACATGTACGAACAAACGCGGTCTAATTTGTATATCGAACTTTTAATAGGTTTTTGATGGCGTTGTCGATTTCGTCCTTCGGTCACGATAATTCGTAGGAAGGGTTGATTTAAACAAGCGGTACCGAACTATCGCCCAATAACTTGTATGTACGTGACGAGTAGTGCAAACCGCCGATTACGCATGCAAATAGAGTATTATAATGCTGCAAACTTATTACGAAAATTCATCGAACGAGACGTCATTCTAATTTTACTGTGTTAAATTCGTAAACTACGAGCGATGTTCAAAAGCTCGTTTTAACTTAACGCATTCTTAATTTCATTTCATTTTCCGTATTATTGTTTCCTTTTAACTATAGGTTTTGTTCTTTTTTTTTTTCATTACATTTTCGGCCTAAAAATAAAAGATTTGTTAATTCGTATTTTCAGAATAGTTTCGAATTCGATGAATTTTCATAAGTAGCTTGCCATGGTCTCGCAACAGCGCGTCTCGAACCAAACCGATTGCGTCCAAACCTATTATTTCTTTTACTATATTTACTATAATATACATATATTGTACTTTGTCTTAATAGAAACACGTAACACTTACACGGAGAAAACAAACGTTTGTCTTATTATTCTCTCTTATTCTATCTCTTTATTACACTCACTTTTTACATTTTATCTCGTTCCTTTTTTTTTAATAATGTATAGACATACATACAGAAATACTGACACGCCGCATAAACACACTGATTATTACGGAAATAAAAATATTGTATACATCGTGTCGGTGAGACATGTAAATATAAACGATAAGTTTCCTTCTTGTATTTTCTAAAAATTAGTATTTAATTTTATTCCTATTTGAAATTCTCCATTTATGTGTATATATAAGTACCTTTTATTTCAGAATAGTTATAATGCATTATAATTTGCAAAAACAAAATGAAAAAAAAGAAAGAATTAAACCAATCTAAAAATGTAGATTCTAATGGACTCTCCGTGGGATATCGCAGAGGTAAAAACCATGCCTAGTATGTTTCATTTTAGTTCGATCGATCTCAAAGATCTAAATCCTGTTCCTACATCGAAGAAGACGATTTCCAGGACAGAGAAATAACATCAAAGCTGGTATGTAAAAAATAAAATAATGATATAACGTGCATTAAATAACAATCGTAATAGGAATCGACGTAGAATATTCTACAATTAAAATAAACATTATCGAGCTTATGTGAGATATCCTAGTTAGTATCCTTTAACCCCCGTAACGAACTAGTCCACTCTAATCTTGTATTTCTCTGTTATCCTCCCTTGAAAACGCATATCTACCTAGCAACATACGTACGTGGAATATATCGAGAAACGGTTTACAGGAAAGGTACTTAGCAGAGAGAGAGAGAGAGAGAGAGAGAGAAAGAGAAAGAGAAAGAGAAAGAGAAGGTGTATCTGACAGAACCTAGCCAACATGGTTTCGAAAGCACTCATTAGTCAGTGAAATGCGGTCACGAAGTGACAACTCGCACATAGAATATTATACGGTCCAAGAACTTCCATCTGTGTACTCATATCGCGAAGCCCGCTAGTGAGACAGCGCGTCGTTACTCTCGCGACTGTTTGTAACTTTCGCATTATACACCCTTTGTCCGTGATTCGACAGTTTCGACAGTTTCGCAATGGAACGTTAGAATGTGCCAGACCGACCAAGCGAAAACGCTTGCAAACGACGTTAAAGTTCAATCGGACCGCCGCATCTGGGTCCACCGACAACAATTTTTCTCCCTATTTTCTATCATTTTATTCTTCACTCTTTTACCAATCTTCTTTCGATACCAATGTACGAGAATATTTTTCCTTTCTTTTATTTTCTTCTCCCAACCCTTTTCATTATTTAATCCAATCCTCCTCCTCCTCCTGTCTGCTACTTTGTTCTTTGCATCTAATTTTGTTCGCGAGCCGCAAGAAAAAGCTTGCGTCTATATACGAGAAACAAATAGAAATGGACTATTATTTTGCGTATAAATACATAGGTGCATTGTATGTAAACGTATATGCACAATCTCGTATATATATATACAGGGGAGAAAATAAATAAATAGAAGTGGTACGAGCCAACCAGAGTTACTTATCTCGTGCTCCGTATCGTGAGTTTTACCATGAAGGTCCGAGATTCGCATTGTTGATTTCATACAAACGTAGATACTATGTTATGCATATGTATACAGGTATGCGTGTATATCGTAATTTGAATTTGATAAAATTAACATTAAATATTTTCGATCCAAAAATAAAAACCAAATCTAAGCTCGTAGAAACATCGATAGGAAAAATCCACGATATTTGTGTGTTGTCGCTGAAAGTGAAAAATCTTTGGGAAAACAGAAATTCCGTTGAACAGGTAAGAAAGTGTGTTCCAGTCTAGGATGTGTTTGTCTGCAGTAGGATCCCGGCTGCTTTCACGGTCTGTCATGCAGAAAAATTGACTCGGTCCAATCGTCTTGCGGGTGAATCAAAGAGTCAAAACGTTTCCTTTAATCGCATCCTTTCCTCTCTAGCGTGCACTGTGCATAGCAGCTTTGAAGCTTCATCTGCAAGTGTAAGCTTTGTAACTCGTTTAATGAAAATTTCTGTTCGTTGCACCGTTTGTACGCACAGACGCGTTATAATCTCTGTTTCTCTCTGTTTCTCTCTGTTTCTCTCTCTCTCTCTCTCTCTCTCTCTCTAACTAATTTTACCTATGCGAAATCATCTATCTCTCTTCCTCGCGAAGAAATTAAAGGCAGCCCAACAACCATCGATTCTTCCTACTTTCCGCTCATTTCTCGTATAAACCGATCAAGTTATTCGAAGGCTTCGTAACGCAAGCATACTTTGCATCGTTGGTAAGTCTTTCCCCCCGTCCTTGCCCCCGCCCCGCATCCCCCCAACCATATTCGAGCTTTCCAAAGATCAATGAAGAAATTTCACGCGAAACTGGAACGCTGTTCCCTCGCTGAGCCTCGCGAAAGAAGGAAAAGACGAGAGAGTGGAGAGAAAGGTGAAATAATCGTCGATGATTTCCTAAACGAGATTTTGCATCGATCGGATTCGTCTACGTCCGGTCCACGTTTGTAAGTAGGTATGTAGGTACGTACCTATCAAGTTAATCTTCTAATCAGTGACTCGACTCGACTCATCATCCATCCGGTCTCTTAATTAACTCAACTCTGTCTTTGATATGCAGATGTATCCGTGATCGACAGATTTCTTCTTTGGATTATAACGAGGTCATTGCATCTATCTATCTGTCCTATTCGATTATAGAGAAAAAAAGAAAAAAAAAAAAGGAAAAAAAAAAGGATAATCGGAAACGAAGTTAAGAGGATGATGCGTCGAGTATAGATTGTCGATTTTCAAGATAGAAGACGGTTTCCTGATCATGATTATTTTTCGAACAAAGTTCACGTTTCAATTTATTATTACTCTTCCGTTACTTCTTCTTCGTACTATCGTAGATCTTAATAAGAAAAGAATGGGAAGAGGAATAAAAGAAAAAGAAAAAGAAGAAGAATAAGAAAAAAAGGGACATTATATAAGTGAACACATTCTCGAACATCGTCCGTTACTCACGATATCGA